GCATACTGCTTCAGCATGTGGAGGAATCCAAGCCTCGACAGGCCTGCAGGGCCCAGTTACAGCTCCTAAGCTATGATTGTACAAATGCCGTTAGCGAACGGTCAACCGGATGACGCTCTGTTAGCATGAAGTCCAACAAGGCGTAAGGAAACATAATCACCGACTTGGCTTTATTTCAGTCAACACCTTCACCCAAAACGTGCTGAAAACAAGAAGTGTAGGCACAAAATCTGATCTGACATCTGTTGTTATTGTCATCCTGAGCACGCTGCATCTTTTCAACATCGCTGTCAGTTCATATTTTTATCAGATATGGGTTACATCCTGCAGCAGATAGGGGCACCATCCTGAAATCAGATAGCACTGCGGGCAGCAGTTGAGAGCAGAGCGTGAAGGCCTGCAGTGTGAACGTGGTCCTGGAGCGGGACAATGCAGCCTGAATACTGAGGAGGAGGCTGAGCGTTTTGGCACCTTGGCTTCGTCCCACCCATCAGGCTGATGGAAGCCCCTCTAATGGATTGCTCACGCTTTTCTTCTCCTGCCATTACCAGACAGTCTTTTGTTTTTAATTAATTTTTTATGTTGGCATTTCGCTTTATTTGGATAGTGACAGTAGAAAGTCGCAGGAAAGGCGGGGAGAGAGAGAGAGAAAGGGGATGACATTGGGGCTGGATTCGAACCCAGGCTGCTGCGGTAATATCGTAATTAAACCAAGTGTATTCTCTGTCAGCAAGCTTTTATTAACCTGTATAGGAGCTAGACTAGCAGTGGGGCTCTAAGGATGGAAATACCAGTCCACCACTTTAGTCCAGTATTAGGTGGATTGTAATTAAAATTTTGCTACAAACATCATGTTGTCCACCTTTTCAACATGGCATAAACACACCATATGGTCCTGTATGGGACTAGATGTAGTTGAATAGCAGAACACTTTTATAATAATCGAACCAAGTCTATCCCAGTTCAGAATATGTTATTTGACTATTATACAAAATTTAATTGCAACAACTAAAACCAAGATACTTTTTTTCTGATGAAGTTTAAAGTTTGTTTACATCAGTAAACATATAGCAAAGAGCAGAGTTGGGACCAAGTCATAAAGTCACAAGTAAGTCACAAGTCTTTGCTCTCTAGTCTTACATTTAGAATTTTAAGTCCTAAACAAGTCAGAATGCGTTCTTCACTAAATGTAATTCAATTTTCACAACAGAACAAACAAAACTAAATGTTTTTCCTATCTTTTTTCTAACTGGCGCACAGTAACGTAACATTCGTTTTTCATGGTTCTCTCTCGCAGCATCATTGGATGCTGTCGGATTCGTTCAAACTAAGTGGATCTGTGGAATTAAGTGTCGACTGGCTGGGAATGAGTGGAGTTAACGTTAGTTGGTTTAGGAAATGAACTGATTAGTGGGTGACTTTTTAAATAACATACTTTTTAGTCTTTGGGGGAAGGTATTACGTCTTTTCAAGTCAAAGGTGAAGTCACAAGACACTGGTGTTAAAAAAAGTCAAGTTCAGTCTTAAGTCATCAAATTTGTGCCAAGTCCAATGCATGTCACTTGAGTCCACAGAGTTTTCAGTCAGGATCAACTGACACTTAAGGACCTTTTTAAATGCCTTAAATCCTAGCCAGCATGTAACTTACTAATGTAAAAATGATGAGAGGAGTGTTTTAGATAAAAGTATTGCAAAACGTAATGTACGATAGTACATATTAAATGTTTAACCTTTAAAAATATTTCCCTTAAAGTGAACTGAAATTAAGCTTTTGGGTTTAACAAGTTGAACCCTCACCTACCACAGTCGGCATCTGTTGAGACAGATGGTTTAAGTCGAGCTCAGCAGGTTTGTTAATAGCTTCAAGTTAATCTGTATTTCACAACTTGGTTTGACTTATTGTGTTATTTTAATAAGGACCAACATAACATCCTTCTTGTAAAGTCTTTCTGTCTGTGAGACAGTTTTGTCTGTCTGTGAGACCCTCACAGAACCACCCGAGAGGCAAAATGCTTCAACTGGTTTTTGCAGTTGAAGCATTTTGCCTCTCGG